CCCCCCCCCCCGCACCAAAGTTGTAAAGTTCATTTTCGACATGACAACTTGTACTTCTCATAGTTGCAGCGGGTCCACCTGTATCCTTAAACGACTGGCTTTTCCCCATCTCCTCCACAAATTATACCTATATCAAATACTTTTCTTTTTCTCCTTTTCTGTCTCCTCTTCCTTCTCCTTCACTGATCTTCCTTCTCTTCCTTCTTCTATTCCTCCTCCTCCTTCCTTCTCTACTTCTTGTCTTCCCCTTCCTTCTCATTTTGCCAAACAGTATCCCATGTCCCCGCATGGTGTGTTGAGTTGACCAGGAAGTTTTTAAGGACCAGAGCAACGCCATCAAGGTCTATTTCTAGAATGTGTTGCTGGCAACCGGATAGAGAATATTAAGTAAGATTTAGCTACTTCAGTGATCCACGCATGAGACAGTGGTGTCTAGGGCTGATACAGGAAGCTGGGCCGGGACTCCCCAGGTACCCGCATGGGTGACAGGCAGAGAGAGCAGTGTTACAGGCCCTAGTGTGCAGGAATGGGTGTGGCTCGGGGGCTCATACAAAGAGCCTAGAGAGACTGCCACCCTTGTTGGTTTGAGACAGGAAGTCCAAAGGAGGTGCTGTCCTCAAGGATTTGCGCTGCCCTCTTCCCCCCCCCCCCCCCCCGTGGCTCTGTGGCTCCCCCATCCTCTTAGGGATTTGGACACCGCACTGCTCATTTGGATGGTGAAGACCAAGGCCCCGACTTTCCTGCTGCCTAGACACACTGTGCTCTGCCCTCCCCAGGGGCCGGAAAGGATTTGACATCGCCCTCAACTTGCTCTTCGCCATGGCATTTCTGGCCAGCACATTTTCTGTCCTAGCAGTCAGCGAGAGGGCCGTCCAGGCCAAGCATGTCCAGTTTGTGAGCGGCGCCCACGTGGCGACTTTCTGGCTCTCTGCTCTGCTGTGGGACCTCCTCTCCTTCCTCGTCCCCACCCTGCTACTGCTGGTAAGTGCTGGGCGGTGCCAGGCCCTGCCCTGCAGACCACAGGAGCCTCATTTGGGGGCCCTTGCGCAGACCCAGAACCAGCAGGAGAGTCCATCTGGCAGCTCTGCGCTGATTCGGGAGGCTGTCGAAACCTCCCGTGGCTGCCATTGCTGCAGCCCCATGTTGGGGAAGCCGGCCCTGGGCCAGCCATTATGGCTCCAGCTCCTCTGAAACCCCGGGGAAAAATGGAAACTGCCGGTCCGAGGGCTGAGAGATGGCCAGGGCCTACAGACCATTGAATGCTACCCCCAGTCTCCCCTCCCCCTGGGAAGCTGCCCACTGCCGGTGGGCTGAGCTGTCCCTGTGTGTGATACTGCAGGTGGTGTTTCGAGCTTTTGACGTGCGTGCCTTCACACGGGACGGCCACATGGCCGATCTCCTGCTGCTGCTGCTGCTGTATGGCTGGGCCATCATCCCCTTCATGTACCTCATGAGTTTCTTCTTCTCGAGCGCATCCACAGCCTACACCAGGCTGACCATATTCAACATCCTGTCGGGCATCGTCACCTTCATCATGGTCACTATCATGCGCATCCCAGGTGGGAGCTGGGAGACTGCCTCTACCCCACTGCTGCCCACAGAGCCAGCTGCAGCCGTGGGAGGGTCTGCGGCAGTGACCAGGGAGGGGCCTCCCTGAACTACCCAACACGGGGCAGGGCGGGCGGGCGGGGCCTGTCCGTGGAGGGGCCTGATCTGTGGGAATACCCGGGACCTGCCCATGCCCACGGCTGTGCCCCCTCTGTCCTCAGGCAAGTGTGGAAGGTATATCCTCCGGCACTAACTGGTCTACACCTCCTCCTCACTACAGCGGTAAAGTTGGAAGAACTTTCCAGAACCCTGGATCATGTGTTCCTGGTGCTGCCCAACCACTGTTTGGGGATGGCAGTCAGCAGCTTCTATGAGAACTATGAAACCCGCCAGTACTGCACCTCCTCAGAAGTTGCCTCCCACTACTGCAAGAAGTACAGTGAGTGCCCAGCCCCCCTTCCTCTCGGCCCTCACCCCAGGCAGCCAGAGCACCCCCGGATTTGCCTGGGGTGCCAAGGGGTGAATGTTGTCCGTTTTCTGTTACCAGTAGCACAGTGCTAGAGAAGTTATGAAACAAGCATCGTGCGGCTGACGCCCTCCGAGTGTAAGGGCCGGTCCTGTCTGCTGACGGCATCTTCCTGCCAGAGACCCAGGGCCGTCAGAGGCCTCACAGGCCTGAGATGGGATCACAAGCTGTGTGTCTGTCCTCTTACTTCTCTCCCTCTCCAAAACCGTTCAGATTCAGTTCTGGGGGCGGGGGGTCCTCTCCCAGAACTGTACCTAGTCCTAATCTCCCTGTATCTAGTCCTCATTACCTCCCTGTGGCCCCAACCTTTGCACACCATTGCATTCAGCTTCTGCCCTCTTAATTCTTCACACTAGGGATCACATTCCAACACCTCCACCTTGGAAGCCTCTCAAACCATCACAGTGCTCCATATTCTGAGTGCTTGGAGACTTTCCTGCATTGCTCCCCTGCCCCACACCAATCCCTCATGGCTTCCTGTATGCACATCTGGGCCCGCCTCTGGGCTTCAGTTCTTTCCACCTATCTGATGTCCTTCTGCCTTTAAAACTGGTGACCGCAGCCTGCAACTTAGCCAATAAACACAACCCCGCCCCTGAAGCTTCCTGCTGGAGTTCACAGCTCAGGAGAGGGCAGGGCACGTGCCTCCCCATGCTGCCTCTCTCTGCTTCTCTTGGCTCCAGTGGTTTTCCTTGTGTTGTAGCTTTACCAGTCTATCTATCACTGCCTCTGTCTACACAGCTTCTCCTGTGTCTGGGTCTCCTGCCTTTCTTGTCGTTGGATAGGCCTTCTATAAGGCCTATAACTAAATAGACCTTCAGAGACCCCATTTCTGAAGAGCCGTGTCCACAGGTTAGGGCTTATTAGCCCTCGGACCTATCTTTGTGAGGCCTTTCTGTGCTTGGAGCCTCTCTTTTATACATCAGCTGGCAGCTCAGTAGCCACCTCTGTAGAGCCTGCACGCCCTTCTCCATTCCTGCTGAGCATTACTGCAGGCATGGGCTTGTGGTTGCTTGTCATGTGCCCATTGCCCCCCTAAGGCACTGGTGCCTGGAGTGGGGACAACAGGTGGGGTTGGGATCTTGGCATCCCAGCACAGCGTGTAACTCGAGGTGGCAAGCCTGAGTGGCAGTCCTTGTCAAAGGCACACGAAGGGCATTGCACGCAGCAAAACACACAGCAAAACGTCCCGCACAGCTGGGAAGAACCTGAGCCTCCTGTGTGGCATTGACAAACCCAGGGCACATCCTTGAAAAGAAGAGGGCACCGTCCCCATGGAGGGCCCAGGGAGTGAGGGCAGGATTGGCGTGTAGGAGGGAGTGCTTGGCCAAGGGCCCAGACTGCTCCTTGCTCTACGCAGACATCCAGTACCAGGAAAACTTCTACGCGTGGAACACGCCGGGGGTGGGCAGGTTTGTGACCTCCATGGCTGCCTCGGGGTGTGCCTACCTCAGCCTGCTCTTCCTCATCGAGACCAACCTGCTGTGGAGACTGAGGACCTTTATCTGTGCCTTTCAGAGGAGGTGGACCCTGGTGAGTGGCTCCTGGACAGCTCGGGGACACTGACCCCAGGCTCCCCACACTCCTGCTTGGGCCCAGGACAATAAAAGACGTCTATCTCACCTTAGACGGGCAGCTCATGCCCCTACTCCTAGGGCCTTGAAACCTTAGTCCCATCGGCAATCCCATGTCAATCTTGGTCCCTGCGCTTCCTCCCAGGGGATGGGGTTCACACACAAGGTCTCTGTCTGGAACAATTAGGCAGAATTGCATAGCCGGACTTCAGTGCTTCCTGAGGACCAAGATGTAGCAGATGAGAGGAACCGAGTCCTGGCCCCCAGCCTGGAATCCCACACGCCCCTGATCATCAAGGAGATTTCTAAGGTAAGACATGGGTGTTAGCCTCCACCTGGACACGCAGCTAGTCCTGGCTGGGGCCTAGGAGCTTGGCAGGGGCTGAGGCAAGGTGCTGGGCCTGACTGCAGGCCTCTTCATTTTGTGCCCCCCCCCCCGACTCTGGCACCCCACAGGTATATGACCAGCGGGCGCCGCTCCTCGCTGTGGACAGGATCTCCCTTGCCGTTCAGAAGGGGGAGTGCTTTGGCCTTCTGGGTTTCAATGGAGCTGGGAAGACCACCACATTCAAAATGCTTACAGGGGAGGAGACCATCACCTCAGGGGACGCCTTTGTTGGAGGCTACAGCATCAGCTCTGACATCCAGCAGGTGAGCGCTGCAGGCCTGCCCTGATGGGCTCGGACCAAAGGGGGCCTGTCCCAGAGGCAGGCTGGCTGGCCCTGGCTCCCAGGCTGCACAGAGTCTCAGAGGCAGGCTGGCTGGCCCCTGGCTCCCAGGGCACACAGAGTCCCAGAGGCAGGCTGGCTGGCCCCGGCTCCCAGGCTGCACAGAGTCCCAGAGGCAGGCTGGCTGGCCCCTGGCTCCCAGGCTGCACAGAGTCCCAGAGGCAGGCTGGCTGGCCCCTGGCTCCCAGGGCACACGGAGTCCCAGAGGCAGGCTGGCTGGCCCCTGGCTCCCAGGCTTCACAGAGTCCCAGAGGCAGGCTGGCTGGCCCCGGCTCCCAGGCTGCACAGAGTCCCAGAGGCAGGCTGGCTGGCCCCTGGCTCCCAGGCTGCACAGAGTCCCAGAGGCAGGCTGGCTGGCCCCGGCTCCCAGGCTGCACAGAGTCCCAGAGGCAGGCTGGCTGGCCCCTGGCTCCCAGGGTGCATGGAGTCCCAGAGGCAGGCTGGCTGGTCCCTGGCTCCCAGGGCGCACGGAGTCCCAGAGGCAGGCTGGCTGGTCCCTGGCTCCCAGGGCACACAGAGTCCCAGATTCAGGTTGGCTGGTCCATGGCTCGCAGCCGCACAGGCACATTTGTGCATAGCAGGACAGGAACTGAGCGGGTAAGGAAAGAGATGGGGGCAAAGAGGCATGGCTAGCTCTAGCCTAGCCTCCTGTGCTCAGAGACCCCTGTGTCCAGGATTCATGAATGTGGGACAGCCCTGTGTCCAGGATTCATGAATGTGGGACAGAAGCCCTGACGTGTGAAGGCAGCATTGTAGGAAGCCCAGGACTTGCCCACAGATTTCCCTGGATTGGACTGAACCCCGTGGAGTAATAGGCCAAGGGCAGCCCTCTTGCTCCAGCCCCATAGCAGTCAGAGCAAGCAAAAGGAAAGGGAGAGAGCTTGAGTCTAAGAAGTGGCCACAGAGTCTCCTGAGCTGGTGGACTGCGGCACCCCGGGGACTTGAGTGCAGGCTTTCTGGGGAAGGGCTCACCTAGAGCTCTCAGGTCCCCCAGCCTATGAACAGAGCACACCCTGCAACCAGCCAAACCAAGGGGGCCAATGTAACCAGAATCCACATACGGAGGCCCCAAGAGGGATGAAGCCACAGATTGTAGATTTGCAATAGCCAGGCACATGAATGTTCACTATGTTAAGGAAAGAATGCAATTGGAAATATGTGTAGAGAGAGAAAAACACAAGATCTGGAGACAGGCACAGGCGAAAAGTGCCAGATTTACATTTACAGCCAAAAAGGTACTGGCCAGGAATTGCCCCAAACCCATTAAAAGCGGGTTCTAGAACTCCAAGGAGGATAAAGAAAAGGACTATGGTCTCCAAAGCCACGGAACCCGAGCACAGATGCCTCATGGGCTCCTGAGGTCCGCGGGGCGGCGGGCACCTGCCTCAGCCACACTGCATCCTGGCTTTGTGGACAGGGGCACTTGGTCCAGTACCAGCCGCGGTGGCAGCCAGTGCGAGTCCTGCCAGCGGCCATGCCAGCCAGCATCCTAGCTCAGAGCAGATGCGCGGTGGCCGGTCATCAGCTGCAGTGGCTTTGGTGGTGGAAACTTGTTTAATAATGAAGTCATTCTTAGGCCCCCAGCCCTGTGGCCAGCTGTCATGGAAAAAGTTCCAGGTTGGAACGTTCTGGGCCCTGTCTGACCCCTTAAAAGGTTTCCTGAACCAGCCAGATTTGTCCTGGTTCTCCACTGGGGCACAGTTCAGAAAGCTTCAGCCACAGGGCCTGGCGGGCACTGTCTCCTTGGCTGACTTGCTGGAAGAGACGAGGGCTGAGCTTAGCAGCGGCACATAGCAGCAGGTGGTCTCCGGTCCCTGGAAGGAGGAGACTTTTCTCTGGTCCTCTCCACCCCGCCTCACCCAGGCTGTGTTGTAACCTAGGTGCGGCAGCGGATGGGCTACTGCCCCCAGTTTGATGCCCTGCTGGACCACATGACCGGCCGGGAGATGCTGGTCATGTATGCCCGGCTCCGGGGCATTCCTGAGCGCCTCATCGGCCCCTGTGTGGAGAACACACTGCGGGGCTTGCTCCTGGAGCCACACGCTAACAAACTGGTCAGGACATACAGGTGCGACCCCTGTCCAGCCCTTCCCCCTTGAGGAGAAGACTGAGGGCCTCCCTTGGCATAAAGCAGTGTCAGTCAGTGGCTGGGCTCTCTCCTTAACTCCAAATCAGCGAGGATTTGGAAACATGACATGGGCTTCCTCAGGTCAGAGGACTTGCTGAGGGTCCCTGCTACCTAGAGCCAAGGCCAGCACGGAGTGACAGCAGGGGCTCTGTCAGGCCCCTGTGCAGACAGATGGGTTCCTGTGTCACGCGGCACCACTCAGCACAGCTCTCCCATAAGCACAGCTACGGGCAGTATGCTTTCTAGGCCCACCAAACTCCTTTCTTGTACCTGGGGCCTCTGAAGTAACCCTGATGGGGGTCTGCTGGGACCAGCGAGCCTATGCTAACTGTCAGCCTTGCTTCCCACCCTCCTTCGTCAGCGGCGGCAACAAGCGAAAGCTGAGCACAGGCATCGCCCTCATTGGAGAGCCTGCAGTCATCTTCCTGGACGAGCCGTCCACTGGCATGGACCCCGTGGCCAGACGCCTGCTGTGGGACACAGTGGCCCGGGCCCGGGAGTCTGGCAAGGCCATCGTCATCACCTCCCACAGGTAGATCCTGGGTCTCTGCGTCCGTGGAGAGCCAGGGGTGGCTGGGAAGAGGTCGGGGAGCAGAAGACCTGTTGGCCACGGGCACAGACTCAGCCAGGATATCCCCCAGGCCCTGCACAGGGTCTGCGCTGAGCACGGGAATCAGGAATGGGCTGGTCTGAGTCACCATCCCGTCAGCACAGGCCCTTCACACCCAGATGGGGGTCAGCCTCCCCCAGCCCCGAGTCACACTTGTGTCCCTCTGCCCAGCATGGAGGAGTGCGAGGCGCTGTGTACCCGGCTGGCCATCATGGTGCAGGGCCAGTTCAAGTGTCTGGGCAGCCCGCAGCACCTCAAGAGCAAGTTTGGCAGCGGCTACTCCCTGCAGGCCAAGGTCCACAGCGAAGGGCAGCAGGAGGCTCTGGAGGAGTTCAAGGCGTTCGTGGACCTGACCTTCCCAGGTGTGTGTGGTGTCTGGCAGTGCTCTTGGGTGGCCCTGGGCCCTGTCTGGCCCTGCCAGCTGCTGTCCAGAGTCCGTCCCACACGCCTGGCCCTGACATGAGGACCACGGTCCTGTCCCCCAGGCTGCCCTCCCTGTTCCTCCAGCCCAGCCATCACTGACACCTGGTCTCTTTGGTGCAGGCAGCGTCCTGGAAGATGAGCACCAGGGTATGGTTCATTACCACCTACCCGGCCAAGACCTCAGCTGGGCAAAGGTGAGTGCAAGCCCTGGACTCCTGTGTGGGTGCTAGTAGGGACTAGGGGAAGATCTCCTGGAGTCTCCCCCTTTTATGGGCTTTTACAGGCGCTTTTCAGGGTGAATTAATTCCTGTTGCTCCTCTAATATCCTAACCTCTGTGAGTCTTGTGGGTTTACATGTAAATATTTGAGATGGGAAGAACTCATTACAAAAAGGGAAGCTGGCCTAGGGAGGGGCACATACTTCACACTGGGAGCAGGGCCCAGAGGCAGCCCGGCCGCGTGCCTGCTGTCCTGGTGCCACAGGCAGCCCGGCCCCGTGCCTGCTGTCCTGGTGCCACAGGCAGCCTCTCACCAGGAGCACAGCGGAGCTTGTGAGGCCAACTTCTCCCATCATCCTGAGGCAGGCTGGGCACTGGCGACACCTCCGGGGCTACCAGCCTTGCACTGCAAAGGGCTTGCTCACCTCGCCAAGAAGCCAAGCTCCGCTCTGGTTTACCAGTAGCTTTTCTGTCTCCCGAAGGTTTTTGGTATCCTGGAGAAAGCCAAGGAAAAGTACGGAGTGGATGACTACTCAGTAAGCCAGATCTCTCTGGAGCAGGTCTTCCTGAGCTTTGCCCACCTGCAGCCCCCAACCGTGGAGGAGGGGCGATGAGGAGCCCCCTGCTGCCTCCAGGGCGCCTGGCAGGGCGGGGTGAGCCAGTGCACTCTGCATCCTCTCCCTCCCAGTTTCTCTCTTCTTTTTAATCACTCTTTTCTATGATGGACATGAAAAAAAAAAATTTGAGGTGGAAAAGAATCATGCACAGAATGGACCGAGTGTGTCAGTGTCCTGACGTAGGAACAGCATGTGGATTTCCACCCCTGAAGGCCAACGCTCAGGAACTCAGGAACTCACACTCCCAGAGCCGGAGCCTGAGCGGCAGTGTGTACTGCTGGCTGTGGCTCTGGGTGGAGCGCTGCCCCTGGTAGGTCTGCGTCGACCTGGAGGACTCAGCACCCTGTCCATGTGTCCACCTGACACTACTCTCCCGGGGAGAGAAAAAGGAAGTCAGGCCTTTCAGGCTCTGTGAATGGACAGAAAAGTTACGATTCCTATCAATGATGGGAAGAGGTCAGCGTGACTCAGTGCTTAGTTTTCAGTGCAGCCCCAGAAGCACTTCCTTGGAGCTGATGCTCAGCTACACCAGGCGGAGCTGACCCCAGGCCGGAGGTCATCCCGAGGCATCGTCCAGAAGCAGCCAGCACAGGAAGAGGCGGTGGCTAGACGCAGAGCACAGGCCTTTCTTCCCAACTTTGCACCTTCAGGTCACTTGTCACAGGACAGCCAGGGCCCCGAGGGCTCAGCAGCTGTCTCCTGCGGACTGACTAGACATATGGTGACTCTGACCAGAAAATAAAGGTTGAGGGAACACGACCAGACTCTTCAAGTCACACATGCAATGTGGGGGAGGGGGAGCGCGTCTTGGGACCCAACCACTCCCATAATCCAACACGTCTCTTATATCAAATTTCAAACAAAAGCAAGAATTTGCTTTCTCAATAGGGAGAAAAGTCACAGGATTTACTGCCATGAAGTTACAGTCAAGGCCCGTAGGACAAATGAAAAAGGTAGTGGGTCTAGTGCCCAAAGACAGCCCTGTCAGCAACTAGAAAACAGCATGGCTTGGTTGGAGCAGGACCTGCAGACCTGAGTGGGCAGGAGGTCTCTAGCTGCAGCACTTCCAGAACGTTCTTCAGCCCCTCTTCTTACTTACATACTATTTATGGCTGTCTGAAACTGTGATTTGAAATATCTGCATTTTACATTCCTTAAGAATTATAGGGGGGGGGGCTGGGAAGGTGGCTAAGTGGTAGAATGCTTGCTTTGCATTCATGAGGCCCTGGGTTCGATTCCTCAGCACCACATACGCAAAAAGAAAAAAGCCAGAAGTGGCACTGTGGCTCAAGTGGTAGAGCGCTAGCCTTGAGCTGAAGAGGTGAAGGACAGTGCCCAGGCCCAGAGTTCAGGCCCCATGACCGGACCCCAAAAAAAAAAAAAAAAGAATTATAGAGGGCTGGGAATGTGGCTAGTATGCATGAGGCCCTGGGTTCAATTCCTCAGTATCACATAAACAGAAAAAGCCAGAAGTGGTACAGTGGCTCAAGTGGTAGAGCACTAGCCTTGAGCAAAAGCAGCTCAGGGAGCCAGGCACTGGTGGCTCACGCCTGTAATCATAGCTTCTTAGGAGGCTGAGATCTGAGGATCGCGGTTGAAAGCCAGCCTGGGCAGGAAAGACTGTGAGACTCTTATCTTCAATAAACCACTAGAAAAATGGAAGTGGCACTGTGGCTCAAGTGGTAGAGCACTCGCCTTGAGCTGAAGAGCAGAGGGATAGCACCCAGGCCCAGAGTTCAAGCCTCAGGACTAGCAAAAAAAAAAAAGTTAATAGAAAATCTTGTTTTTAATCACTTTGGCTCAATTGGGAGAACTTCAACACACATACACACACAAAACCTTTTTTTTTGCCAGTCCTGGGGCTTGAACTCAGGGCCTGGACTGTCCCTGAGCTTCTTTTGCTCAAGGCTAGCATTCTACCACTTCTGGCTTTTTCTGTGTATGTGGTGCTGAGGAATGGAACCCAGGGCTTCATGCATGCAAGGCAAGCGCTCTACCACTAAACCACATGCCCAACCCCAATTTTTTTAATCTTTCCAATAGGAAGGCTGCAGTTTCCTGCAGCACTCTTACTCTTAAAATTCTTCAAACTATTAGTATTTAACTCCATTTTGTAAAAAAAAAAAAAAAATAGGGGTTGTGGTCCAAACACTATTCAAGAAAAACAATCTGGGAGGCAGCCTCACCTGGTCCCATGACTCGTCCGCAGGCCTGCCACTCGAGTCTAGGGTCAGAGCAGAGGCAGGAGACTGTGATGTCTGGCTGCACATTCAAATTGCCCTGAAGCCCTACCACAGGGGTCCCTGAAGTTGATTTCAGTCCATGTGATTTTGGGATCTGCCACTCTTCTATTTTGATATTAAAAAAAAAAAAGTGTGAGGAAAGGTCATAGCACAGAACAGACTCTGAAAGCAGCCTTCCCCAGTGTGTGCGAACTGGCCATGCTCCCACGGGCAGGCCAGAGCTGCCAGCCTGAAGCTAAGGGGAAAATCTACAAGATTCTCAGCGTCTGTAGGAGCCTAGGCCGGAGCAGCAGGAAGTCTTTATAGTCCCCTGGATCACCTTGAGGCCTGGCCCTAGGTGCTAGAGTGACTTTGAAGGCGGGGCCAATGGACTTTTGTTTTTTTGGTGGGTCATAGGGCTTGAACTCTGGGCCTGGGCACTGTCCCTCAGCTCTCAGCTCAAGGCTAGCGCTCCACCACTTGAGCCACAGCACCACTTCCAGGGAGAAAAGTCTCACGGACTTTCCTGCCCAGGCTAGCTTTGAACCGAGATCCTCAGATCTCAGCCTCCTGAGTACCTAGATTACAGGCGTGAGCCACCGACGCCCAGCTCTCAATGGCGCTCTTTTTTTTGTGTGTGTTGGTCGTGGGGCTTGAACTCTGGGCCTGGGCGCTGTCCCTCAGCTCTTCAGCTCAAGGCGAGCACTCTACCACTTGAGCTACAGGG